ACGACCCAGGCTATATCACAGTGTATTATGATCGTGTAATAGCCATATATACAGCTATATGAAGAGGGAATGATGATAAGGGCCAGATGTCATTCTTACCGGTAAATGCGAAAGTGAAAGCATGCTGAAATATTACCGAGAGCTGTTTGTCCAGCCTGATCTCGGTTTATCCGTCAGGAAAATTGACCGAAATTACTATCTGTTAATTTTTCCATATTTTAATCGTATAATAGGCCTATGTTGCATTAGGCCTGTTGTTTTGTTCATTTCCGCACTGACAGCTCGAAAGAAAGATTTACATTGATCTGATGCAGTCTCGGCTCATCTGCTATGTCTCTCTATAATTTAAGCCTAAAATACAGAATTATAGTCAACGTTTCTTTAATAGATTGATTAATTCAATTGATCGATTTCTACAAAACCTGACAATTGAAATGAGGCTCTGTATATATGAGAAAGTCTGACCTCGATTTGTATTTGGTGACGATGTCTGTGGGTTGTTAAAATTAAAGTGCACATTTTCACTTATAAAATATTCTATACACAATGCACAAAAGTTTGGGGTCAGTGTGATTAAATATGTTAAAAGAAGCTTCTTCTGCTCACCAGGGCTGCAATTATTTCATCATAAATACAAATTGTGAAATGTTGCACTATAAAATAACTGTTCAAAAGTAGTTTATCATTTAATTTATTCATTTATTCCAGTGATTTTAAAGATGAGATTTCAGCTTCATTACTCCAGTCACATGATCCTTCAGAAATCACTAATATTAATTATTATTATATTTATTAATGGTAATAGTAATAAAATCAATAATGTCTGGAGTAATTATTTTATTTGAAACTAAATACAATAACAAAGCAGTTATTTAAAATTTTAATAAATATTTAACAATTACACCTTTTTTACATTTATAAATATAGCCTTGATGAACTGAATAGTTTTCCTTAAACATTTTTAAAATTACCGTAAATATATATACAGAGTTATTAGTCCCCTTTTGTTTTTTGTTTTTTCTTTTTAAAATATTTCCTAAATGATGTTTAACAAAGCAAAGAAATGTTGATATTTTGTCTGATAATATTTTTTCCTCTGAACAAAATCTTATTTGTTTTATTTTGGCTAGAATAAAAACATTATTTTAACCATTTTAAGGTAAAATTTATTAGCCTCTTAAGCTAATTGTTTTTCAGACTGTCTACAGAACAAACCATCATTATACAATAACTAGCCTAATTACCCTAACCTGCCTAGTTAACCTAATTACCCTAGTTAAGCCTTTAAATGTCACTTTAAGCTGTATAGAAGTGTCTTGAAGAATATCTAGTAAAATATTATTTACTGTCATCATGACAAAGATAAAATAAATCAGTTATTAGAGATGAGTTATTAAAACTATTATGTTTAGAAATGTGCTGAGAAAATCTGTTCTCTGTTAAATAGAAATTGGGGAAAAAAATAAACAGGGGTGCTAATAATTTAGGGGGACTAATAATTCTGAAATCAACTGTGTGTGTGTGTGTGTGTGTGTGTGTGTGTGTGTGTGTGTGTGTGTGTGTGTGTGTGTGTGTATATACACACACACACTCACATTCAAATAGCGATTAACTTCTTTTTTTTTTTTTTGGTGGGGCCAGTGAAAATTTGGGCTGGGCAAGTAAAAATCAGAACCACTGGCCCGATCGGGCCAGTAGAAAAAATCCTTAGCGTTGAACCCTGTGAGCACTGCTTAGTTTAAACCCTCGCTATTGTAACGCATATAAATACATACACTAATATTTGCTGGTAGGAAAAATCTATTTGTTCACTTCTGTTATTTATACTTTAATGTACATTTCAATTTTTTTCTTCCACTGTTATGGGTCAATGATGCTAATATTCGGCACAAATCCATCAGTTTCTTAGGTTATTAGATTATTTTATAATTTCACCTCTCCTGCTGTGCATGAACTATGCTGTTGAATGTTCAGTGTATGAGGTGGCTAGGCTAACCTTGCTTCAATTTTGATAAAATTATTTTCTAATCAGTTGCTATTATGTTGTGAATATACCCCTGTAATGTATACTGCAGTCCTCTTTTGTCTGGCTTTCTCAGATATCTCACCTGTTTGCCAAAAATGACTAATTAAATCCTTGGGAATGTCTGACACCAGCGCATACACACTGTAAGAGATGTGCCAGCCATGAAAGCTTGACAGGCGTAGCAACAGTAACTAAGGAGGGCGAGGCTTAGCGAAGGGTTATTCCAAGAATGTTGATATGGTTTCTTTCTTGCTTTACTATTTATTAACAATACACAAAAAACTAAAAGGTTAAGGTAAATTCTTTAATAAATTCTAGTGTTTTTGAGTATTATACTTGTTGTATACTTGTATTATACTTATGTTTTAGGCTAGTATTATTTACGACTTGTTAATTAATGCTTCATAATACAGTAGTATTACCAATAGTGAACAGATAAAATAATACAAAGTGTAGTTTTACTACAGTAAAGTGTAGTGATTTGTAGTATAAAATACCCTATATTGTAAAATAATACAGCACTGGGTAATTTGTTTATATTACACTTGTGTTACCATAGCAACTATAGTATTACCACAACTGATCAATTGAAGTTCTTTACTGTAGTAGGCTACTGTTCAAAACACAGTACATGCCAATATACGTGTTTAGGGGCCCTGTGGCACAGCTTTCCTCAAAATGGAGAGGATGACATGGAAAATGTCCTCCACAATCTCATCAGCAAAGTGGAAGCCAGCAGACACTAGTTTACTTTATTTTAGCTGCCATGATAAAATGAGATTGATAGTGAGATTTATTTGAAGAGTGAATAGTACAGTAGGCTATAATACCTTATCAAGTGTTTCCTTATTTTTATCACAGTTACATTTCCGCTTGCATTAGTTTTTGTTTAAATGCTTTTAAAATAAAATGTATTCTTTACATCCAACATCTATTCCAGAGGTGCCTTATAGTGGTGTAAACCCCTTTACAAGGGGTGTTACCCCTGTGTAAACTCTAGCCACCCCTGTGGCCAACCCGATATGATTTTGCTGTTGACATTATTTATTTAAATCTACTTACATAAATGCAATACAATGCAATATTTCAATAAATAAATAGCAGCCACTAAATTATTGTGGATTGATTGGTGCCACTGACGTAGCTGGCCTCTTCTGGCCCCCCTTAAGCAAATTTTCAGGGGGCACCACTGGTCTATTCTCTGTCTTTAAGTGTTTGAAACTGAAAATATCTCATCATATAAAACAACCAAAAATGTTATGGTTTATTAGATTAAACATTTAATATGTAAGTCTATTTTAGTATTTTGGTTATTGTTATTAAACAGTGCAGCAATATGAATCATATCTAAAAGCATGAAAGGAAGAGGGAACACGACACAAATTGTGAGTTTGCATATAATCTCTGAGAGCGCTCAAGAAAATTTGTGTGTAAGCAGTGCATATTTGAGAGCGAGAGAAAATTTGAGAACTCGCAATCAGTTTTGTCCACAAACAGGAAATCCGTGCACAAGCATCACACAAGGTAGAGAGCAAAGCTCTTCAACGTTATGTGAAGAAAACAACGTTATTGTTTGTATGAAGTAGCCTACTTCATTAACAATATGTGCTACCATTTTACATTGCTGCTAGACGGATTTGCATCTCCATCTCTTTAGCACACACGAGATTCAATTGACAAAATTCCAATTTCACTCTTCTAATTTAACTTTGCAGCATATACAGGAGTTGGTCTACTGCTACCACATTGAGGTTATGTAATTTTGGTTAATCACAAGTTGATCACCGAAGACATAACATAGCACAACTAAACTTAATGAATTAGACAGCAGTAGACCTGCAATTTCTGTGTGATACGAGGCAAAATGGAGTCTTTTTTTGGTGGAACTCGTTCTTGTGCATTATGCTGTGAAGACGAGACGCAGCACTGTTCAGTACTTTTTCAGAAAATTGCATTTGTATTTTTATATATCTAAGCAATGTTCTTTAATAAAAAAAGGTTTGTTTAATTAATACAGATCTTACAACCATACCTAATCTGTATATATTTTATTTTTCTGTTAAAAAGACTCGAAAAGACTCGAAAATCAAACTGCAGGACTTTGGACTTGACTTGAGACTTGTTGCCTTTGACTCGGGACTTGACTCGGGACTTGCCTGTCTTGACTCGGGACTTGACTCGGGACTTGAGGGCAATGAATTGAGACTTACTTGTGACTTGCCAAACAATGACTTGGTCCCACCTCTGATATATATATATATATATATATACACACGCGCACACACACACACACACACACACACACCTTTCCATTGAGTACATCATTTCATTTCTCATCCTTTAACTGGATAAACTCTGATATGAGACGTTTTCCTGTTTTTTTCCCCTCACAGGAACTCATTTTATGTTACCTTGGGTAGCGAGGCTCTTGAACCGGAGCTCTGGGTGGTCATGGTCAGCACGGTGGTGATACCCAAACCCACCCGAGCCGGTGCCGCATCCATATTGATCCAGAAAGACACCCAAGACAAGATGACAATCAGCAGGCTGGGGATGTACATCTGAATGAGATAGTAGCCCATCTGTCTCTCTAAGTGAAACTTCACCTCAATGCAGGTGAATTTACCTAGAAGAGCACAAAGAGTTTCATATAGTAGGTAAGTCAAGGTAGCTTTTAATGCATTGTTCACACTTTTTAAAAGGATTGTTCACCTTTTTTTGTCCTCTTTATTCACTGTTCGCTAATTTAAAACATGTAGAAAACTTGTAACAATTGACTTATAGTTTTTTGTCTTACTATGGATGTCAATGGTCATCAGTTTCCATTATTCTATATTATAAAGGAGTTAAAGTTCATTTTTGTGTTAACAATGCATGAAGCTTTTTTGGAGCTATGTTGGTATATTTAATAGTCATATTGATCTTTATGTAGTAGCAGCACCAAAAATGCATTTAAAAATGAATGAGGACCTTGAAAACGCTTCTGTTCTCAGCAGTGCATATGGTGTGTTTTTATAGATATTATTTGAAATGCATGAAGGTCGTAGTGGAACGTGTACCTGTGTTGTAGTGCTTAGTGCAGTAGCCGAGATCCTTTTCCTCCTTTAGTACAAACTGAGGAAGAGTCAAGTCATCCGCAACCTGCACAGGGTTATCAGAAAGCCACTCGAAGATCAGATCGTTCATGGTGTAGCCAACTGTGAAAATGGAGAGAGAATGTGAATGAAAAATGCATATAAAAGGTGTGAACTGCACCGGTTAAGCTTCCTGTATCATTGACTTAAGTGTGACCAACATCAAGTGTTTGAGCAAATATTGTGTTTACTTCTTTTGTACTCTTGTTTCAACTTCATTTATACTGTTTGTCCCAATTTCTTCATCATTTTAACAGGTCTCTACACGGTGAGATTAGGGGCCTGTTAAAAATGCATGAGGCTTGCAATAACAGTGTAGAATTCTTGACAAATCTGAATAATATTGATGTCTATCAGAGACCCTGAGGGATTTACAAAGACATCTATTATTCACAGACCTCCCATCCCTCTTCGTCTTCAAAACAACAAACCCATGAAAAAAGGATGAAGAATGAAAGTCCTTGAATGTCACGCTGTCTTTGAAAAGTTTGGTGCGTTTCTAAACATTGTATTCAAACTAGTACCAGGAATATGAATGATGATTCCAAGATTTGAGAGATTTTTGGTGTATTTTAGCTTTAAATGTCAATATCTGTGCACTGTAGTCTTCGGTGACACATGAATATGCTGATTCAGTGTTCAAGAAACATTTTTTTATGATTTAATTGTCACTTTTTAACTAATTTATATCTTTTATTTCCTTTTTGGATTTTTTAAGGAATTGTTCAAATATATTTTGTCATTTTTTATTTTGTGAGGCTGAATTTTGTTAATAAATATTAACCATTTAAATCCATTTTAACCATTTAAGTTGAAGGCAAAATTATTAAGAAATAATTAAGATTTTCTTACTTTTCAAATATTTCCTAGATTCTAAAGGATCAATACACAAATTTCTAATCAGCCAATCACATGGCAGCAACTCAATGCATGTAGACATAAGCTGCGTCCCAAATCGCATACTTATGCACTATTCTACGCCATTTTGTAGTATAAATAGTGTAAGTAGTGTGTTCACACTGAAAACTCTAAAAATAATTAGTGCACTTTAATTACCCGGATGATGCACTCATTCAGCCGCTAAAATGAAGTGTGTAATGATGGACACTTCACGCACTCAACGACCTCATGTTTGCTGAAGTAGCGGAAGGGGCGGAGCTACCGCACGCACATGTTGAATAACTTTATTTATTTTGGATGGTGAAAGCAAAATTCTCCTACAAGAGTGATTATAGCGCCTCCCGATGGTGAAGGCGGCAACACTCACGGCAGGTATTATCTGATAATTCGGTTGTTTATTTCACTGATTTGGCAACCGTCAAACGTCATCAGGAAAACGGTTTGAATTTCCGCTTAGTAAAAAAACATTAGTGTGCCATTTGGGACACCACTACATACATATACTATCCTGTTGAGTGTGTAAGTGCATAAGTACATAGTGCATGAGTGCATAGTGTATAGTGTGCCATTTGGGACGCAGCTATAGTCTAGACCAGTGGTCACCAAACTTGTTCCTGGAGGGCCAGTGCCATGCAGATTTTAGCTTCAACCCTAATCAAATACACCTGAACAAGCTAATCAAGGTCTTAATAGGTATACTTGAAACATCCAAGCAGGTGTGTTGAGGCAAGATGGAGCTAAACCCTGCAGGGACACCGGCCCTCCAGGACCAGGATTGGTGACCCCTGGTCTAGACAATCTGTTGCAGTTCAAACCAGCATCAGAATGGGGAAGAAAGGTGATTTAGGTAACTTTGAATGTGGCATTGTTGTTGGTGCCAGACGGGCTGGTCTAAGTATTTCAGAAATGGCTGATCTACAGAGAATGGCCTGAAAAAGAGAAAATATCCAGTGAGCAGTTGAGTGGTTCAGGTTGGTTCAGGCTTAAATCAACGGTTCAGGTTGGTGGTGGTGGTGTAAGGGTGTGTGGGATAATTTCTTGGCACACTTTGGGTCCATTAGTACCAATTGAGCATTTTGTCAATGCCACAGCCAACCTGAGTATTGCTGCTGACCATGTCCATCTCTTTATGACCATAGTGTACTCATCTTCTGATGGCTACTTCCAGCAGAATCAGATGCCATGTCATAAAGCGCGAATCATCTCAGACTGGTTTCTTAAACATGACAATGAGTTTACTGTAATCAAATGGCCTCCTCAGTCACCCGATATCAATGCAATAGAGCACCTTTGGGATGTGATGGAACGGGAGATTCGCGTCATGGATGTGCAGCTGACAAATCTGCAGCAACTGTGTGATGCTACCATGTCAATATGGACCAAAATCTCTGAGGAATATTTCCAGTATCTTGCTGAATCTATGCCATGAAGGATTACGGCAGTTCTGAAGGCAAAAGGGGTCCAACATGGTACTAGTAAGGTATACCTAATAAAGTGGCCAGTGAGTGTATGTGGACTTGAACACACTCAGTGCCCCAAACTTTCCTTTCTCCTTTTTTTGTTTTCACCTTTGCTACAATACTCCGGCATCCGTTCTATCTTCAGGGATGTGTCCTTTCTAGACAAGGTGATCCCAACCCTCGGCTGCGTCCCGACACTTGTCAAAACAGTGTTCAGTGGGCCCTTTCAAAGCCCTAAAAAGGTGCTCTTGTCTAATCGGAAATGATTACGCCCTCTGTAAGCGCTTTGATAGACCATAAACCTGCCTGTCTTCCTGTGTGTCTCTTTCTGTCTGACCCTACTGCTTAAAGGAGGGCAATTTTAACTGGCCACGGACGAGGGCTTTTCCACTCATTGGATAAATACTGTAGACATACAGAGGACACAGAAAGGACAGTAAAACACGCTGTCTGAGTGTAGCACGTCCCCTAAATCTTTTAAACCATATGAGTCACTGAATATACTTCAGGTGCTCTCTGTGTTCGTGACACGTGAGTGGGCATTTAAATCAAATAATCCATGAGACAAATCCTGATGTCAAACTAAATGGCGTCCATTTCTGCATTACACGCATGCCTCGTTTGGCTCTTTTTCATGGTTAGAAAAGGGGGATCTTTTGTCTCAGGGAGGTGGAATTAAAAGCCTTTCGGGCAACTGGGGTGGGTCACATAATAAAGGGCAACACAAAATGAAAGTTTCATTATTGATATCCTTTAAATTGGTTCTAGGAGTTAAGATGCTATCGGCTCGGAGGGCACTGGGGTGGTGAATAGTCTATTTCTTTGCCTCCCTCTTTCTTTTATCAAGGTAATAAGGAAGGACACTTTACGCACCGCTTTAAAACTAGGATGCTGTATCTGTGACGCTTCCTTTTTGGCTGATTTTTTTTTCTTTTTTGTGCAGTGAGACATAGAATTTGTTTTGAGGTATTGTTGTTTTTTTCTAATCCTATTATGCTCAGGGTTACACAGTGGAAATATGAGCAGTGGAATTGAATTACTTGACTGGATGTATTGACGGCAACAGTTCATGGCAAATATGTCAAAGACGAGACGTCCCGTTTTGGTTTTTGCATTAAATTACATTCACAAATAAGATTATATGTACATAGAGAGCTTATGAAATGAGAAGAAAGTGTCTGTTTCTGATGAAACTGATTGCAACAAAACATTTAAGTTCAAAAACTAATCTATATGAGTACTGTGAACTTACACCAATTTGAGTAAAAGAAGCACTTTGAGCACAGTAAAACCCCATAAATGAAGAGAACTCAAACCAACTGAGTACTGTAAAACCCAATAAGTTAAGGCAACTCAAACTGTTCCAGGAAACCAATTGCAACAAGCCATTTGAGTTAAAAACTAATCCATATAAGTACTGTGGCCTTACTATTTAAATTTTAAGTAATGAGGTATTTAATTAACTCATTACCTTCAACACTGAGTTCAAAACTCTTTTCAAATGAAACTTTCAATCAATTTTTAGTTAACTACACTCATTTCATTCAACATACACTCATTAATAAAGTTGACTGGGTTTTACAGTGTAGCTGTTTTTGCCTTATTGACTTCCATTATATGGACATTTTTGATTGCAAAGCCATGACAAGCTTAGTTTCTGGCTTTATATGGAGTAATGTGTGTGAAAACATCGAACTACATAACAAAAGGGTAGTAAATTAAACAATGGTCAAGGGTTAATGGAAAATGAAACAGACATGTACTTTTATGAAACAATTAGTGATTAGTGATTAGTGTCTTGCAGACAAATGCTGGGTAAAACCTGCACTCTGGTCTTTACACTGTCTTTATCTGTATTTATCTGTATCTGTAATCTGTATTTTGCAAGTTATTCTTGCTAAATGCTGTATGCCTGAGAAAATATTTTGTATATAAGGTATTGTTGCACTGAATCCTGTGGCTGAACTATTTTAGTACGATGCATCATTTGGGAAAAGAAGGATGTAGTGATGAGAGTTTCCCAAAACAGTAGTTTCTCTGTTGCAGATCCGCCATTTGAACCACGTCATTATAATGTAAAATGTCCATAATGATGCTCTAAACGGGGCGGAGTAACTTCTTTAGAGAAAATCCTCATCATTTTTTTGTGCAAAGTCATTTGTTCTACAAGCACATGCATTAAAAAAAATCCAATATAAATTTTTTGTAAAAACATGCTCTCGCTTTACATATTAAAAAATATATGTAAATGGAACACACAGGGCCTATGTTTTCATTAGAAATATTATTGAGAAAATGCCATATTCTTTTCTAAAACATAAAACAACTTAGCTAACACATATTATAATCTCATATATAAATAATATAAATCCTTAATGGGTGTAATTTACAGTAGGCTATTTATTAAGAAACGAAGAAAACTCCTACTTAATATTACTACTACTAATATTAATACTACTACTACTACTACTACTACTACTACTACTACTACTACTACTACTACTAATAATAATAATAATAATAATAATAATAATAATAATAATAATAATAATAATAATTATTATTATTATTATTATTATGTATCTATTATTATTAAGTAAGATATTGTTTATTTATTTATTTATTTAAACTACTTTTACAATTTGACACATTCAGACCACTGCAGAAATATTCTAACCAACAAATGTCATATACAGTACAGATGTATTTCTTAATAAGTAAGCTACAATAAGCTAAAAGCATTAACATATGTCATATATTTTTGTTTTCACAAGCTTTGGAGACGTAACGTAAATTCCTCTTTTAAATAATTGGTCACCTGTAGCTTTCATCATGAGCCACGGCCGTGTTTAAAATGGCATAAATGTTTTTTAAGTGCACTGTGCCGGAAATGCAATTGACAATATAAAGACCACTGAATCTAATTTGTAAAAAAATACTTTGAAAGTAAATTACACCTAAGAAGATGACCTAGAAATGGCTTTTAATGTTTTTTTTTTTTTTTTTTTTTATCATTTCAACTTTAAATATTGGAATGGTCAATTGGAGTAGGGCATGGAGGATAACTGGGAATAGAACACAAAACTATGTTTCTAACTACAGCTCTAGAGGTGTATAGTTGCAAACAAAAAAGTTTGCGACACATTTTGCGAATGTTTGTTGGAACGACATATTTGGAACACCAAAGCAACAAACTATGTTTGTAACAACTGCAACTTGCGACCTTAGTTGGCTAACGATGGTTTCCAAAATGCACCTCAGAATAGGTTTTTACTTATTTATTTTTTTACAGTTTGTAATGTGTCAAAAAAACTGAAATATAAAGCTGTGTGGTACTTGGATAACATACTGTGGATGTTTGGATAATTTTTTTAAGTCAATTTCCCCAAATAATTTCAATTTATTAAATAATCCTGATAAAATGTATAGTTGTTTTTACAGAATTATCAAGCAGTGCAACTGTTTGATTGCCAAACCATCATAATAAACACATTTCTGAAGGATTGTGAAGTCTGAAGTAAATGCTGCTGAAAATTCATTGGCCATCACTCAACTCACTCGTAATTCATTTGAATCATTCTGAAATATGTTCATCATACGAAACAATATACACAGAATGTCTTTTAATTACGTGCATGAGTTAAACGTTCCCTGTCCTTCACCCTCATGGTGATTGCTATCAGTGCATACATTAAAACTCCATATCATCGTCAGAAGAATCGAATGCAGCAAAGTGTGAAAAGGGGAAAGGAGGCATGGTGGGATGGGGAGGGAGAAATGAAGTGAAGAATAGAGAAACTCACAGCTTTCTAGCTGCATGGTACAGGTCTGAATGTCCATTGGGAAATTCTTCAAGTCCATGGGACAAGACAGGATGAGTGTTAGCCTGAGACAGAGCGCAAAACAGGAAAGCAGAAAGTGGGAAACCACAAAGGACAGAAAATAGGTGTTAAACAGAGAAGAGAAAGATTGACAGAGAGTTTGCAAGGAGGAAAGGCTGATGTTAAGAGCATTACAAGGATATACAATGCGAAAATAACATTTACGTGATCACATATGCATCTTTTCCTAATAACCAAAGTGAACGTACCTTCAGATGTCATGAATGTGGCCCATGTTAGTTATGCATTATTTTCATATATACATATATATATATATATAATAAATTTAGATTTTTTATAAGATTTGAATAGCTTGTTCATGAGCAAAGTAGTAACCTAATGTGATCTTTTGAATTAATTGGTTAATCTTGTTTAAAATATCTGTTTTTGACTAAATTATATGGTTAAAGTTGTTGATAACTGACTGGAGGTGTAGATTTTAAGTGAATAGCAACTTAAATGCTGGCCTGTCAGTGACGCAAAGCCACTGCTTTTTTAGAAGAAGATGTTGAATAAAGGGCATAAGTCAAATATAGACTACTTTCTTTAAGGGCAGAAAAGCACCAGTAATCAAAATGCCAGTTTATACCGTCTCTGCACAAGTTGAGATCAATATGGCCGTACCCCTCATCTTTTTGATTTGTGATTACAGAGTGAATTGCTTTTTTTATCACATGAGTATTTTTTATCGGATGCCATACTGGTAATAGCAAACTAACTGCCTGAAAGTGTTTTCTGTATTCTTATTCATTGTATTGCTGACACGCTATAGTTTTATCCGTGAATAACAGTAGGCACTATTAGAAAGTTTGGATCAAGGAAACAGTGTAATTACTTGTTGTAATCTAGTGCCTTAGAGAAAGAAATAGCCAGCGGTGCCTTTTATTGAAGAGCCCTTTTTTATTCAAGCCCCAAAATATCTGCCGTACACTTACTGATGTGAAGACCTTTGTTGGCTCTTCAGCATGTAATTATTATTCCACTGTAGTCAGTTTTTGTAAAAGGAGGAAATGTTTTTTTTTTTTATTATAATTGGAACTGTGGTTTACAATAAGCTGTGGTCATGTCTTTAAAATGTACTCACTCTCAAGTGGTCCCAAACCTTTACAAGTTTCTATATTCTTTTGAGCACAAGATATTTTGAAAAAGCTGAAAACCTGTAACTGTTAACTATCATTGTTAGAAAAACAAATACTGTGAAAGGCAATAGTTACAGGTTTCCAACTTACTTCAATTGACCTTCATTTGTGTTTAACAGCAGATAGAGGCTGTTTCTCAATTACAAGAACGCAGAGAAAAGACTCCTGTTCTTGTGGAGACTGTTCTTGCCAAGTTACCTCGAAAAACAAACTTGGGAGACCGCAAGAACAAAGAACGCATCCTGTGAGAAATTAGATGCTGTGTTCTTCCTGATGATCACATGATTTTCACGCTTTTTAGCTGAATATTATTTAAACATTACAGCATTCATACAACAATTTATTGTATTTCCCCTTTTTCACAATATATACTATGCATAAAGACCTTATATATGGATTGCACAATATAAATACAAACAATTTTAACATGAGTTTCAGCAAATAAACACCCTAAAGGCTGATTTATATTTTTGCGTCAAGCGCCTGTGTGCCTTGCACACAAATGTAACTACATGTCACAGCAACGCATAGCGCAAGCTCTGTGATTGGCTGGCTTGATACTGGTGAAAAGCATGGGCGGTGCTAAGAGTTGCGAGTCTGATGTAGCAAGTGTCGAGTCCTGTGAAAGAGCTCCAGATGGAAACTTTTGTTTTTTGTGTACCTTATGGGTAAAATTGTTGCTCGTCCCCGGTTCCTGCCTCTGAATGAGCGAGTTCAGAAAAAACGAAATACCCATGAAGAAACTTGATACAAAGAAACATAAAAACCTACCGCCAGCTAGTGTTTCGGAAGTGTTACTGCAGAGCAACATAAACAGCATGCAGAAGTATAAATGCATAAACCAGTATAAGTAACAAGTATAAACCAGCCTTGAATTTGTTTATGCCTTTATTAAAAATTTTCACAGTATTGTTTACTTCCACCATCTCATTTAGAGAAACTCCTGAGATAAATGAGCTAAATCCCTGAAGTTTAATAATAAATCTATATAAAATGCTGCGCTGCCCACCTCATTTATTCAGCCATAGTGACTTCTGGTACTTGACTTCTGGACGCAACCTCGATATTAAGAATGCATCCGGGATCTTTCACGTGTGCTCCGTTCTTATGGTTTTAAGCTTTGGAATTGGTCTTTGCCGGTTGATGATGACGTTACACGAGAACACGAGGACACAAGATTGCTGAAGAACGCATATTGAGAAATGGATTTGGCACAAGTGTGCATTGTTTAATTATAGTTTGTACAGTAGATTTTATACATTTCAATATAACAGATTTTTTCAAACATTTACGTTTAAATAATCACTTTAAATGTATACAGCATATTTACAATATTAACAAGTTAATGCTTGCCAAATATGGGGATTGTAAAATGATTGTTTGGCCAAAAAGATAATTCGTATTAGAGGAATTTGCATTACTTTCAACAAATTTTTGTAAAGCATAACATAACATCTCTCACTTTATGTATTTTGTTTTTACTTTGATCAAATAGTGAACTCAATAGTGGTAATTGTGGTATTATTTTAAGTCACATTGCATCACTATTTTTCAGAGATGTTTTAATAACGTTGCAAGTTCTTATTTTTCTCTATTAAATCTCTTAGACGCTTCTCTGCTCACCTGATGCTGTAAAGCACATTCCCATTCTGAAAGATCCTCAGCAGCTTGTTGTCTGTGGTGACTTCATGGAAGTTGGCACCTTTCTCATTAGCAAAAAACAAGTCAGGTTTCCATATGGAGTCCAACATAGAAGGGTCCAAGTCTAGAGATGCATCGGGATATTCACTGTAGGCCAGTCTAGGGTCGTTCCACTGCTGCCGTAGAAAGACGTTTAGCCTGTAATCCTGGAGTAAGAGAAACAAATGAAGTAAGTCCTGGAATCTTGTAGTTCAATTTCTGAACTGCTGAATTATTAATGTACCTTTTAGTCCTAATGTTCTTTTTAATTGCTAACCTAATCAAAAATGCTCTTGACTTGCACGTAAATATCTTGTGCTCCCTTGGCATTAATTTTCGTTGTAGGTCTTCCGTTTCTGATGACCTAACCTCCAGGTTAACTGACTAACAGACCATTAACAATGGCAATCTGTAACGGTCAACTGAAACATTCTGCTGACTGAGACATTTAGTGCTAAGCACAGGATCTAGTGGATGGGTATATCACCTTTTCATTTTCCCCCTGAAGATTCTGGTCTTCTTTCAATTTTTCATTTTAATTGCATAGTGGACAGTTCATTATTAGCACATCAACTGACCCATTGGACTCTAAACTTCTAAGTGATGTGCTCCTTGAGACAGGGACAAGTCAGCAAAGTGACTAAACCTCACTCAACAGAAATACATGTGTGGCATATTGCTTAAAAGAATATATTTTATGTCAAGGTCTGAGCTGCATGGAAAAACAAGCTTAATGCTGAATCTTTGCATCCAAGCAAAAGTAAACCAGTGTTGTGAGATACCACATCATGATTTTGCCAAGTATGATGCGATCCTGGATTAACATTTATGTTGATCCTAGAACATCATTGTTGTAGGAAAATGTTATTCATACCTATTCCCTACCCCTAAACCCAACCATACCTGTAAATAATTTCCAAAATCAGAGGGGAGTAATAGATAACAATCATGCAGAGAGCATAAACCTAACCGTAAAACTAAACTTAACATAAACAGTAAACATATCCCTTAATTCTGATTGGCTGATTGGAATGTTGTTCCAGGATCAACATAGATCATAGGTCTCTGCACAGTTTTGCTCCAATCTTAATCAAACACAGCTGATCCAACTAATCAAGGTGTTCAAGACTACTTGAGACTATTAAGGAGGTGTGAGTTGGAGGTGGTTGGAGATAAAATATGCAGAGCTGCGGCCCTCCAGGAATTTTAGGGCCTACTCACACTATGCCATCCGTACCGTGCCCAGGCCCGTTTCCCGGATCGTTTGAGAAGTGTGTGCGCGCTGAATCAGGCTCAAGCACGGTTCACTTGGCCGGCCCTGGCCCGGTTGGAAGAGGTGTGCCTGAGCGCGGTTCACTTGGGCTTTGGCGCGGTACGCTTGTGTGTGAGTGCAAAACGCGCCAAAGCCCGAAACTGAAAGCAATACGTGACTTTTAAGGGGTTGTTTTATATGGATTTATTAATCATTCTTACTGTTCAGTGATCGCAAACTGCCGTCGTTTATTAAAGACGCAAACCCCTCACTGCACGTCAGCTGCGCGCCTTCAGCAGACCTCCTCATTCCAGCAGCACGAGAGCTTTATGATTGTTTATGAGCGCCAAAAGTGGCAGATCTGTCCGGTGAAATATCTGACTGCGTGTCACCGCATCCCTAAGGAATGTTTGGCGAAATATTTGACTGCATGTCAATGCATAACAAACGACTGAAAGGATATAACTAGAGAAATCTCCACTTTGCTACTGGGTGATAGCGTATGGCAAGCCGTTTTAGCATTTAAACCTTGTTCTGACTATCCATAAATATATTTAGAGATATCTTTAATTATATTTTGACTAGTCATAATTATAATTCGACTAGTCAGATTGGAGATATCTGCAAATATATTATGACTGACTAGTCATATTCCTCCATTGACTTCCATTGAAAAATATTTGCAGATATCTCTAAATAAGTTTTGACTAGTCACAATTGTAATTAGAGATATCTCCAAATGAATTTTGACTAGTCAAAAATCCAATTCAAGATATCTACAACTGTAATTCGACTATTAGTAAATTAATTAGAGATATCTTCAAATATATTTGTAAATATCTCTAAATATGACGAATTAAAGACATCTCCAAATGTATTATGACTAGTAAAAACTCAGTTAGAGATGTCTCTAATTACAATTGTTACTAGTCAAAATTCATTTGGAGATATCTCTAATTACAATTGTGACTAATCAAAACTCATTTAGAGATATCTGCAAATATTTTTTAATGGAAGTCAATGGAGGAATATGACTAGTCATAATATATTTGCAGATATCTCCAATCTGATTTTGTACTAGTACAATTGTAATTGCAGATATATCTAATTGTCATTCTGACTAGTCGAATTATAATTATTACTAGTCAAAATATAATTAGAGATATCTTTAAATATATTTATGGAGTCAGAACAAAGATTTAAATGCTAAAAAGGCTTGCCATAGAGAGCGCTTCTCACTAAACAGAGCAGCAGCGATGACGTAAGCGTGCCGAGGCACGATATCGTGTGAGCGCGGGCCGTCGGGGGAGACGGGAGGGGGGACAAGCGTGCTTTTGCCCGGTTCGAGGCAACTGTACCTAGTGTGAGTACGGCCTAAAACCACTGACATAGATGTTAATCCAGGAACATGTCCTACTTGGTGAAATCAGGTTGGCGGACATACCATTGTTGTCTCAGTAATAGATCCAAAACTGTTGATGAAGATGTTACAGGTGACGTTTACTGGTGGTCCTGTGAAAACAGAAGAGAGAAAAGCTTATTTTGTTTGCAGGAGAGTGAATAAAAGTAGAGTGTAGTGGGACTATAGACACAAAAGTTCTGGCATTTATCCTCCCGGTTTTGTTCTTTGGTGAAATGAAGGAAAAAAGTACTAAATTCTTGTTCTTCATATAATGAAAAGAGATTGTGACTACTGTCAACCTTCAAAATTGAAAAAATCACAATCAAAGCAGCATAAAAGTGATCAGGTCAATCAGGTTCTTTATAAAAGATGTTGACAGGTCTGTGTTGGTTAAGATCTAAATTTTAACATGATGTAAAGTAAATCATATGAGCTCATAACTAAATTGAGTAACTGAAATCTTGATTTCTAAGCCATTAAGAAAACAGACAAAACCACTTCATTCACGAGTTTGATAAGCTTTTTTGTGAAGCTTTGAGTGAAAAGACTTTTTGAGAGGGAAATCTTTCCTGAGAGGAATATCCTTATTTGTGTTTTGAAAATTAAAAGTGTTTGAAACAACGTGAGAGTGAGGAAAAAGCAGAATTGTTATTTTAAAGTGAACTTGCATGTTACATTTAATAATTGATAATATCCATATCATACAGACTGTAGATGTATCCTACACATAGAGGGGGGAAAATAGGCATTGAACATGTCAGGTTTTTTTCTGGGAATAATATTTCTAAAGGAGCTGTTGACGTGGAATTGAACCAGTTTTTGGTAAAACACCCCAAACAATACATACATAAAAACAAACATAAATTTAAAAGGAATATCTGAAAAAATGTATTCTGTGTAATAACAGTGAAATGACTCAAAGAGAAAGTACTGATCTACTGAAATGTCTTTATTTAATTTTATATAACAGGTTTTTTTGGTGATGGCAGCTTAAAGACGCTTCCCATATAAAGAATGAAGTCAGATAAATTGCTCAGGTGTGAGTTTTTTTTGACTTCAACAGAGTGTACAAATCTTGATGGTTCTGTGGGTCTCGTCCATCAAATCTGATCTTTATTTTGTATTTTATTTAGGATTCAAGTCAGGTGATTGGCCGAGCCATTCTACAGCTTGATTTTCTTTCTCTGAAAGCATTTGAGAGTTTCCTTGGCTGTGTTTTGGATCATTGTCTTGTTGAAATGTCCACTCTGGTTTCATCTTCATCATCCTGCTAATGTCGATGTTGGACTGAAGCAGCTACTATTCATTTACAATGACCAAGGGCAGAGCGTTGCTGAAGAACTACTGAGAGTTTTCAGCTGCTATCTGGTCTTTCCCTGCCTTTCTACACCTCCCTTACTTCATGTGTTCAATACTTTTTACCCTGCGTCATTTCATTTTATTACACATAACTTCATTTGTAAACTATTTAGATTTGTTTTCTTTGCATATATGGACTGGTTTGGTTGTTACCAACATCTGGTGAAAATTTCAAGTCAACAGCACATTTATAAATGTGTTTTCAGAGAAAAATGGTGAAGTGTTTATTGATTTTCCCTGCTGTATAATTAGTATGATCTACTATTTATGGTTCATTTGTAATGTTTTTGTAATTTTTGCAGCCTGACCCTTGTCGACATGTACTACAACATACTCATTTTGTGGTCCAAACCCCACGCAACCCCAGTCAGGTTACTGGAGTCTGTCTGAGTTCCCAGGAGCCACTACTGTCAAGCTGCTACCAGTTTTCACTGCAGGTCGGGTTGCATAAATCCCAAACAAAAGCCTGTTTGTTTACATTTTGTCACACCTTTGAAGTTGGGTCTGATGCGAGCATCATAGCCGGAGGTTCGTCCCATCAGCTTGTCCAGAAAGTCCGATGGGGACATAGGCTTCTGGGCTGGTCTGCTGGAGGACTTTATCTCCTCTTTACAGGAGCCCAGTCTGCCAGAGATAGAGAAAGCAGAGAGGAAGGGATATAGAAAAGAAGCCAAAAAAATAAACATGAGAAAATGAACAATTGATACAGTCAGTGATAATGAGAGAGAAATGCGTCATGAATCATTTCAGCACATCTTTTATAAAGAGCTATTCAAAAAAGACTAATCTAGCACAGAATTCAAAACTTCTGCTTGTGTTTTGCAATCCTGGTCTTTTCCAGAAAGAATAAAGAGGCATAATGCATTAAACATACATTCTCCATGCCGCATTTTTTTTTACAGAACCCCGTCACAGTGATCATGGCAAAGAAAAACCAAGCGCCCTAAACCCCTAGGCAGGGGGAGGCATTGTGTCTGACAGACTGATGGCTCAATTGAAATGCTGTGAATGTCACAGTTTTGGGAAGACTTCTTTGATTCCAGTTCCAGCGGGATTCAGTCTATGCCTGACAGACCTGCCAGGGGCTGGAGCAAGCGGATCCCAAAGGCAGCAGCCCCTGCATTCGACTGGATCTTTCTCTTTCTTGATACTTCAGAAGAAATGTTTTCTCCATGTGCTTTTGATTCAGTTTTAAGCAGATCAGTCGTGACCCAGCCTCCATCCCTTGAGGAGCGGTGGGTCATCAAACTGCCTGCCTCCTCCCAAGACTTTCTGACCAGGGACTTTTTTACAACAGAAAATGCGGGCTGATTTTTAGTTGAAGCTCCCAGGTGAATAACAGCACATGGATTGCATAGTGTTTAGAAAAAAAAGTGCAACCAGGGGCTGTGTTCTCTCCCAAAACCTTGAAGATATGAATCTCTCTTGGAGTGAGAAAAAGTCCAATATGGGTTTAAATTTGCCTCTCAGGCTCCAGGGCTTCCTCGTCATCCAGTTCAACTCTTGTTTATCCGTAAATAAGAGAGAGGCTGTTAAATAAATCACCCCTTCCCCCCACACACACGCACACTTTTTCATGTGGTCCAACAGCCTTAGAAAATCTGGCTTTTCACTCGCATTCCCTTCATTTTCATCGGGTTTTCTGATGAGATCGTGCTAGAGCTGAACATGCATTTTTAAAGAGATGCAGGAGAAGCGAGGCAGCAATCAAGTTTGTTTCTCAGCCTTGAGTGTCAGACTCACGTTTGCATCCAAGCACCATCAGCATCAAATTGTGTTTATAAAGCTCACAGTCCCATGGCTGAAACATGCCAAGTTCATATCTAAGTCTTTCTGAACTTGGGAAGCTTCATTCTGTCAAGCTTTTTACAGCTTGGCTTACCTCTTTCTCCTTTTCACTAGGAGGGAGAAGCCATTTTTTACTTTCTCTCTTTCTCACCTAAACAATCAATATGCTTCTTAACACCACTGTGTGTTATGGACAGTCCGATTACATTCTAATCCTCAGTAAAATGGTTTATATAATATGTGGCTCAGGGACAAAAAGAACAGTAGCAATGGCAAGAAGCCATGGCAAAGGTCCATTGCTTGTGTTTGCACTGGGTGTAATTCGTGGTTTCTGTTGTTTTGGCTGTCTGGTGTTCAGCATCACTTCAAATATTTCAAAGAGAATATGCAGTAGCATTTGAAACACCAACCTGTCATTTCACAATAGCGTAGACAAGAGTGTATAATGTGGAAAATATCCTTTGCGAAGCTGAAGTGGGTGTACTTGTATTAATATACATTTTATAGTACATATATGAACATAATCTGTACACTTTCAGATACACTTTTGCCTTTACACAACATCAAAAAACAGTTTTCAACAAAAACAATCTTTATTTTCTATAAACTTTGCACGTCATGATTTTGCAAAGATTTTTTAACAGCTACAGTTAAAATCAGAAGTATTAGACTCCCTTTGAATCTTTTTTTTAAAAATATTTCCCAATAGTTATTTAACAGATCAAGGAAATTTTCACAGTATGTCTGATAGGGGCGTCAAAATGAATTGTTTCTTCGGTGTACAAATTTGTACCTGAAGGGTTTTGCACACATTTGGGTACTAATATGCTCCTTTGAGGTACCAATGTGGATTAATTGTGTACAAATATGTATATTTTGAAAATGTACTGTCCCAGAAACAGCTCCTGTACCTTTATTTCTGAGAGTGTAATTACCCTAACCTGTCTAGTTAACCCAATTAACCTAGTTAAGCCTTTAAATGTAAGCTGTAAAGAAGTGTCTTAAAAAATATCTAGTAAAATATTATTTACTGTCATCATGGCAAAGATAAAATAAATTAGTTATTAGAAATGAGTTATTAAAGGGCACCTAGGTTACCCCTTTTTTCAGATTTAATATAAGTCTTTTGCGTCTCTAGAATGTGTATATAAAGTTTCAGATCAAAATACCCATCGGATTTTTCATTATACCTTTTACAAGATCCTGTTTTATACTGATTTCCAGCAGGGGGTGAATTTGTCGTACTGCGCCTTTAAGCCGAGTCTTTCCCGCCCACTATTTCTACATGCCTCCTCCCTCAGCTGCGTCAGACAACAGACAGACTTAAAGGAAGAAGGTCTCACGTAGCGTTTGTGAGATACTACAGTAAGAACTAACCTTTACTAATCAGTATTGTGAAGTTGCATTGATGAGTCACACACAATATCGTTACAAAGTTAACGCCACACACACACACACACACACACACACACACACACACACACACACACACACACACACACACACACAGATACACACAGATACACACACGCACACACAGGCAGACAGGCAGGCAGACAGACAGAGCGCGCTTAGCTTAGTTAAGGCTAACCTCAAGTACTGTGTGGATATCTGTTTTGCTAATGTACAAAATAAACCTGATTTAACTTCCACAAACCGGGATTGAAGCGTCTTCTTTTATAATTGTTCTGACACGCTGCTGTGCTGATGAAGTAAAGCTGAAGTAAAACGCTGTAATTAATTACACACATACTCTGTTTTAAAACACTTTAAACATGTGAAACTTACTCTTAATCACATTTGATGATGATTGCTGATCCTAGCGAACAGAAACAGACCTTTTATTCCCGGTTGCTTTGCGTATGTCTGCCTGGTCTTGTTGACATATACACGCGACTACCGGAACATGTTGATGCGCGCAGCTGTCAATCAATTCGGTGGGCAGGGGAATCGCACACCTGCGTAATGGTGCGATCGATTTGAAAACAGCTCCAATTGGCCGACCCTTTTTTTTTGTAGTTAAATTGAATAAAAAGGACTGGGTGTGTTCATATCACCCCAGTATGACGGTCTATACACTATACCAACACACAGATCTGTCCAAACAGCTTGAAAAGTAGATTTTTTACCATAGGTGCCCTTTAAAACTATTATATTATTAGCTAGTTGTTCTAAATGAAATTGGCCATAGTGTATAAATGTGTGTGTGAATGGGATAGTGTTACGGGAGTTTGAATTTTTGTCACTTTCTCCCTCTCTGTTGCTCTCTCTCTCCTTGTCTGTCATTCGCTCTTGGTCTCGCCCTATCACCTTTTGTTCCACTTTTCTTTGCCTTCACAGGTATCTGCTGATTGGATCCCGAGCCTGTCACTCCTCAATAGGGCGTTTCCTCGTGGACCAATCAGGCTTCATTTTGCAGACTTTACATTTGAACAGCATGCCTTGTTTGTTCAGTGCTGTATGTGTGTGGGTTTGTGTTTTGTACGCTCATTTCTGTATTATGATTTGTTCAGTGTCTCTAAACTAATCCAAATAGCTTTAAATCCAATATGGTTGAGTTTTGCCGCAGTCACACTAGAGTTTCAGCTTGCGAAATTCAGTCTTATAGTGCTGCGAAAAGGGGCGGGATTAAACAAGATGATTGGACATTTAAAGAGCGAGTGATTGGTCCATATTTAAAATTTCTGTCCAGAGAGGTCATGTTTTGATCCTCGATTGGTCTCACGCATGTGATGGGTTTTCACAGGTCAGAGTTCACCAAGCCTACACTTTGCAACGCAGCAAATTGCAAAACTTGTTGCATGAGCTTGCGTTTCATTTTGCCTGTAGTTATTTTAATTGTTTAGAAACACTAGGTAAATAGGTGAGAGCTGCTTTTTGTATTTTTGTTTATGATTTTAGGGCTTGTTCTTTATTGATGTCTCATAGGCTGAAGAATTTGCTTTCTTTAGTAAGTTTACAGGGGATCTTGTGTTCTAGTTTATGTGGCTGTTGGTTTTGTTCTTTACTTTGGCCCCACTCTAGTTCCCTTTTCCCCCTGTAACATTTGGATTGATTAAATTCCTTTGATTGCTTCTATTTATTTTAAATTGCATTGTACAAACCTCAGACATTCTCTTTTGTTAGCTATCATTTTTCCTTATAGAGGAATAAAACGAATTAAGCATTAAGATTGTCTGACCTGGTTTATGTCCACCTATTTTCTTCAGTCATAATATAATATTTTAAATGTTACATTTTCTCTTCCTTGACAACTTATTTTATTGTAACAGAGTGTAAGGGGTTTTCCCAGCACTGGATTGTGGCTGGAAGGGCATCCGCCAGGGCTGGAGTGAGACTCCTTTTCAGCCCTGGAGTTTCAAGCCTCAGACCGGCCCACCTCAGTTCACGATTGACTATATCAAAATAAGGTCATTTCATAATCAGTTTTTAATGGCACTATCACGTCCTTTACAATTAAACAGCTGCTTTAGAACTTTAAATGTTCAACAACTCTAACAGTATTGTATGTCTTAACAATAAAAATGAAAAAAAAGAAATAAATTACTCAGATGAGGTTCGAACCCGGGTCGATGGCGTTGTATCACAATGTGCTGACCACTGGACCACAACAGCTTTTCTTAGTGTAGTAACGCATCTGAGTTAAATCATCATTAACCTGAAGGCTGCATCTTGCTCATGAGGCTGCGAGAAAATAGATAATAAGAGCGGAGCTGCGGCAAAAATAATGAATAAAAAGAGTGAGGCTGTGGTCAAATAAATAAATTAATTAATGAAAAAAGTGTGACTGCTGAGAGAAACTGAGTCTGGAGCTAGGGACACCGGCCCTTGCGGCCAAAAAACGGACCAGCCCACTGGGAATACTCCCGGTCCTCCCAATTAGCCCATCCGGGCCTGGCATCCACTGCATAAAACATACACTGGAATAGTTGGTGGTGTATTCTGCTGTGGCAACCCTTAATAAATAAGGTACTAAAGCCAATGGTAAATGAATGAATGATTAATTTATAAAATAATTATGCATTTTTATTTTACCTGTATTGCTAGTGTAATATTTCTGTTATTTTGGTATAGATGTCTTTGCATGCTGTGTAATGATTAGATATAAATACGATTAAACATTATTTCCACTGACGTTTAGAAAAATAGCTTCAGGGCTGCATGTAGAAATAAACATTAAACGATGAATTCCCTAGGCGATTATCTCTGTACTCTGCCCGAAATACTGACAGATGAAACTCAGATCCTCTTTAATACAGTTTCCCATGTTAGTAATTCTCGAAATTTACATCCGGAATGAACATACACCCAAAAGATTAGCTCAGGGAGAAGGATACAATAGAATAAAGTGGATGTGAGAGGTGTAATAAATCTGTCAGACAACCAACAGAAAAGTTCACCAAGGCCTCAAAACTAATAATTTAGATTCAGAGAAGAGATTAAGTTAGCAAGTCACATGCGATTA